CGTTAGAACGCAGATCACTCCCGGGGCATTAACGCCCGATGTGAACAGAGCCCATCACTGCTCAGGATGTCCTCAGGGCACCCACCGCTGCCAGCATCTGAAGATCTTTTCATTCCTGTGTTAGAAGAACGGACTGCGCCAGAAACCAGGTGGCAAAACATCTTTAGGATAGGAAAAATAGACAAGGGAGGATAATTGTTTGATGTATGCAGCCTCCCACCAGGAAAGGAGGAAGCACGAAACCTGGTAAGTGAATCTGAGGAGTCCCTCCAAAATCTCAGAGAAGAGGGCACAATCACTTAAGATGAGCCCAGAGCTCTTGGCTTCTGGGGAAGCAGGCAATTACTGTGCCCCGCTGCACAGCAGAGCGTACATAGCTGGAAGCACAGCCTGTGGCAGAGCTACCCAATTACACACTACCAAGATCTTCTGGATAATTTATCCGAGATCTGCTGGGCAGATAGTGCACCAGCTCCAGCTCCGCTGGGCCAAGGTACTTGCACGCTGTCTCCACAGCTAAGAATAGCAGCGGCGCACTGCAGCTGCTCCCCAAGAGACCAGGAGAACAGCTAGAAAGACAGGATCTCCCACAGCAAGGAGGACCTCAGCGAGACTGGAAGGTGAGGGTGGGGGGAGATGCACAGCAGGAAACCTGTTTGCAATCTCGATCTGATCTGATTCCAAGCCTGCCATTTAACTAGCCTGATCAATATGGCCAAGTTTCAGAAGTCTGAAACGCGGTCCTGCACTGGCTGCACAAGCGGAGAAGGGGAAGTCATGCAGCTCCTTGCATGGCAGCTTCCTATCACTGTGCTGTCGCTCCTGCAGCTCCAGTTTGGGGGTGAAACACCACTGTCTGGAAGTTCAGGCTCTGGAAAGGCATCACAGTGGAAAATGGGAAGAGCAGAGCTTCACCTGCTGTGTACAGCTCTTCTTCTCTGGCTGCTCGACGAACTGAGGAGTGAGGTTCGGAGAGGTGCTGTGAGCATTAAGTATCAGGAGAACTCCCTCTTGCAAAAAGGTGTTTGTCCTAGAGCATGTAACAGTGCAGTCAGGATGTGGGCATTTCATTGAAAGCGCAACTGCAGTGTCCAACCTTCTGGAGATCAGACAGGGATAACCTGCCCTGGGATGCAAGGAATTCGTAAGAGAAAGGGAGCAGCAGCTGCTCAGTGACCTCTACCCCTCTCCCTGCCTTTAGAAGACAAAGCCGAGGAAGTCAGCGTGAAGAAGGACAGCAGGCAGAGCGTTTGGGCCCAGAGCATGGTGCCATGCTGGAAGCACAGAGGGAACAGCGCAGGAAGCCAGGGAAAAGCACAGAGGAACACTGCCTCAGTGCAGAGGGAAGAGGAGGATGTCACCTCCCTGAGAGTACAGCACAGCCAGACAGGAAAGAGAGGAGTGTCACACGCAGTGACAAGAATTTGAGCTAAAGCAGTAAAGAGGTCAATAAGCAATGGGCTTGCGTGGAAAGCAGACAGGGACATGATACTGTCAGGCAAATAATGACCTGCTGAGCAGAGGACAGGTTTGGGGCCAAGCAGAGACAAAGGTTTTTGAAGAGGGCAAGTCTGGATGGTGGGGGGGTGGCTTGGGCTACGGCAGCATCTCCAGGAGAAGGTGAAGAGAACTGAGCAGAGCTCTGCAGTTCTCACAAAGGGAGAGCAGTATCAGGAGCCTGCCCAGGAGACTGGGCCCACACGGAAAGCGAAGGAACAAGACGTGACCTCGGGCCCCACGGACAGTAGCAATGCTCCTCTTTCCAGTATTCTCAGACACACTGGCCAGATGAGTCTGCGCTAAACACGGTGAGCAGAAAACTGTTTCCTGCTTTGGGTGTGTGGCCTCAGCTTCCAGCTGCTGGACACCTTCTGTAGTTATCAGCTAAGATTAGACTGATCTTACACCACCTCCTGGACATGGATCAGGTCACCTCTTGAATCCTTTCCTGGACAGGCTGGGAAATCCTTTAGCCCTCCCTGGGGTCCCCGACCTTGCCAAGCAGCTGTGCAAACTCAGTCAAGTGACGTCCAACCTAACAGCACAGGAGTCTTGGAGTTCGAGGCACCCAATTCTGTGTCTCGCCTCCGGGCAGCAGAATAAACACTTCTCGATTAATTGAATAAACTGATTGACTCTGCAATGAGTCCAGGTCGTCTCTCTCCTGGCTTAGATATCTGAACCAGAGCCAAGATATTGCAGCAGACTTTCTGCTCTATCCCCAACGGCCTCTCAAGGGGGGCTCCTGAGGAAGTGTCACAACCAACAAGCATCCTGAACAGCTGCAAGAGACAGCAGCGGCCAAGGCTGGGTGAGACAGGGGGGAAGGCATGGGAAATCTTGCATTTGCACTGCAAGGGCAGCAGAGCTTCTTAAGAGCTGAACTTGGCTTGAGACCAAGACCAGATCTCTAGGGCGACTGCATCCCAGTGCACTCCAGTCAATGCTAGAGGTGAAAGTCTTCCTGTTATTTCTACCCCTGAAGGCTCCTTGTGAAGTCTTGCTGCAGAGGCCCAAAAAGGGCTTCAGTGAGGCCCCCAGAGCAAGTTGGGGCTGCTGGGACACCAGGACCAGTCCCCAGGCCTGTAAGAACAACATGTTTGCAACACATTACAGCCAAGCCAGAGGCTGGAGAGCTGCAAGGGCAGCGTGGAGGGTCTTGGGAAGCAGCCGGACATCCACAGCAAAGCTGACATGATTAGGGGAGATGGGACACAGCAAAACTTCAAGTCACTGTCTCTGCCACAGACATTTAACAGCAGACAAAAAGAGAATGAAAGTAAGCTTCACACCTCCACCTCCTCAGGCCCACGAGTGGGAAGAAACTCCCTCAAAAGTGCAAGATTAACAAAATTAGATTAGCAAAACAGAGATGAGCTGCAAGCTGTTCCTTCACACAAGGAAGGACTTCTAGCAGGCCATAAACTGGCAACCCCTAGCCTGGAACGGTTCCTTTTAATTAGGTCAGTGCTTCCCATGCAAAATGCTGCACAAGACAGGAGTATTTCAGAGCACACGGACACTTGCCTACCAGAGAAGAGCCAATACTGGAGGCAGAGCAACAGTCAGGGATCCTTCCCTTTCTTAACACACAAATGAGACGGGTGCCAAGTGCCAACAGCGAGGCTCTCGTCCTGCCCTGTGCTGCCCCCGCTCACCTGCCATATTCCTACGCACCTAGGACTATTTGGGAAGCAGCTCGTTTGCCAGCATATGCTCTCTGCCTTAAACTGAAGCGTTAAGTAGGTACCGTACACACAGGCAGACAGTGACAACCTGGAGTAAAGGGCAGCCCTTCCCACCTTTGCGTGGGAAAAGTTGGCAAGGAGTACTTGGCAGAGTGTTGTACCGAGAGCCCTGGCTGAACCCCAGGCTGCGTTAGTGCTGTAACAGCCCGAGCAGCCAGTCCTCTCAAGCACAACCACTTTCGATTGCAGCGCAGTCATGTGTCAGCCGGCAAGACCATTCTGTGGCCTAGTCACACAATAATTCCAGAAAACATCAGTGCAGACGACTCCTGTCCTGCGGCGGTCGCTATCCCAAGTTGTCACATCGCAGATAGAGCTTCCAAGCCAACTGGCTGTAAGGAGCAAGACACACAGTGCACACGCAGTCTTATCACTACCAACAAAACACCCAAAGCCAGAGGCAGCAGCTTCCCTGTCCCTCCCTGCACTCCCTCCAGACCCACACGCGAACCGCCTGCAGCCCTTGATGCGAGGGAGCTCTCTGTGGCTGCTGACCAAGGCAGCTCCTCCACAACCCAACTCCTGCCAGTCTCGATTCTTCAGATCACAGTACTTTGGGGTTTGTTTAATTGACTTAGCAAAAGCACATTCAGCCAAAGATTATCCAGCTGCTAATCCACATTAGTGCTATGTGCACACATGCTAAATCCCTGACATGGATACAGGGTTTTTCTGCAGTCATGGGACACTTACACTATCAGTGTCAAACGCAAACACAGAATATGGTGTGCAAGCCACAACCCACTTGCACGGCAGGAGTCCAAGTCAATGCACGCTATCTGCCATACTCAGAGCTCTTGGTTTGTAGAACAAGCAGCACCTTGTCCTACTCTGCAAATAATCTACGCAGTATCTTCATGCATGTTTGCCCTCAGTAGATGTGATCTCACCATTGGGTTGGGATCAGCTAGAAAGATTGCTAGGAATTTGCCTTTGTACTGCTCCGCCTAACAAGAACCATCCCAGGATTTACAGGTACCCAGGAGCCCTGGATCAGAGCAGGACTCCGCAGGCGGGCTGGCATGCTGACGATGGCAGCAGCCAACTGCTGACACGGCCTGGCCAGCAGACTTTCCCTTAGGGCACCCCAGTTCCCCTCCCAGGCCTTTGTCATCTCTCTCTGCCAGCTTGCCTTCCCGTTCCCTCCAGAGCTCCCCGCCTGCCAGCACATGGACGGGGCTGTTTACGGGAACTACCTGAAGGGTGCCTGCTGGCATTTTACAAGCAACTATTTTTCCTCAACTGCTGCTGCAGTGGTGAAGTGTTTTGTTGCTATGGCCACACAACCAGAGGATCAGGAAGTCAAGTACAGTAGTTCCTTCATCTTAAGATCCTTGGGTGTTAACCTGCCAGCACTGTAGAGATAAAGGTCTTTCTGGCATCATGATCAGCTTGTGTGCTCCAGCCTTTCCATCCTGGTCCCAATATTTTTCAGGGGTTGAAGGGAGAGAATTTACCTCTTCCTTCTATCACGGATACACTCCTCCTCCACCAAAAATGGAACTCCTCCTTTCCTTCAGGATGGAAAATGGTGGCCGAAGGTGTTGTGATATCCATTACGTGCACGGAGCTCACCAGGCAAATTCAGACTAACACAGTCCAAGCAGGGAAAACAAAGCCAGGTGGAGTGATAGAAACCCTTTCTCTGGAGACAAAATGTACTGTGTTCAGGCCCCAAAAAACACAAGCCATGTCAGCATCTGACAAGGCAACACGCTGCTCAAGTCCTTCACTGGCAGAGCTCCTATCAGTGTTGCCCCAGGGAAGGTGGGCAGGGAACAGGCCGCAGTCTGCCTGACCCAGCCATGGGCTATGAAGCAAAGGAGCATGTTATGTGCCGGAAGACTTGGTCTGAAAGAGAAGCTCAGGTCAGCTGTTGCCTTGACAATTCCACCCACTGCCTGCAAGGTCTCTGGGCTTAACTCCTCCAGCCTGCACAGCGAGAAGGGCAGAAGAAACCCAGGTGACACCAAAGATGGAGGGCATACACATGCACAGTCTCCAGCTAGCACAAGCGTGGCAGAGTAACCATCTTGGCGTGTAGCTGACTTCACCGCTTTCGCCCCACAACCAATTCCTTTCTCCTGTCCTCTTGGTATCAGGCTGTGCAAGGGGTTTGTTCTCCTTTTATCCCCTATTCCCTCCTCATGCACTTTTATTTCCCAATGTTTACCTCTTATAATGGCAGAATGCTGCAACTCCTTCTCAGGTTATTGCTCTGGCCTGGCAGTAACAAGCTTCCCCACCACGCCTGCCTGCTGCCTCAAGCCCTGGGAGTGCCAGCTCCGAGCACGTGACACCAATGGGCACTAATCATCCAAAAGCTTACAGACACCTCATCCAGACACAGACAGACAAAGAGCAATCGCTGGCTTTACCATCTCTGAGCCCCTGGAACGCAAATCCTAGGGGCTGTGTGATCAGCCCCTTCCCGTGGTGCGGTTCTGCCCCCTTTGTCTCTCCTCTTTGCTCTTGCGGAGCGGAGTCCGGCTGAAGCATTATAAACAGCTTCTCCCACGGCGCTGCTGCAAGCTCGCTGCCAGCCCAGCGCTGAACAGCCTGTCAGGTCTTGGGAATGGCAAGAGACCACACACAGGAACTGTGGCATTACCGTTGTGAACAAAAGCAGCCCCCAAGACAAGCTGCTTTTTCTCCTGTATTTTGTCCTCTTCTTGGGAGATCTGTTTATCTTACAGAGAATGGAGAGGTGGACCCCAGCAACAACTCAAAAATAGCCTACTGATCTCTTTCCCTGGGGGAACAGTGTGCATCACTTATGAAAACTGTCAGACAGTGGTTTCTCTCTGGAATCATGAAATGTGGTAAGAAAGTCTTAAAAATTTTCAGTGCTTTACTTGTTTGTCATTTTATTCTCCATGTGATGAGAGAATACTAAAATTTGACTGGTGGCTGTTTCTGAAGGGAATCACTAGAAAAAAGATTCATTGGAAAACCTGCAGAGACTACACAAGCGTTTGATGCTGTTAACAGCAACCTCTTATCTAAGAGCCTCTTTATCCCCTGTCGGCCTAAACACACGGTGTTTGCTCCACAGGCTCTATTCTTTCTTCCCTAGCTTCGCTCACCACTCTGCTTTGCCCTACCACAGCATCAGACTCCAGAAGGGTGCCAGAATATCCTTTGTTACGGCATAAGATTAGGCTCAGGTCCAGGGTCCCCATTCCCTGGTTGCCCAGCAGGAACACACAGCCTTCCGGGAGAAATCCTTTGTGCTGGCACACTGCTCGCAGCTTGCTCCCAGCAGATTTTACCTCTGCTTGCCACCAGCACCCAGAGTTTTCCCACCCTGCGGTGTCAGGAGGGTCAGCAGGTGGAAAGGGTGACAGGACAGATGCAGAGTGAGGTCTGCTTGGTTTGAAAGGCTTCCTCCTGCACACAGCATGGCCATTTCAAACCCCCGTGGATGCATTTGACAGAGAAAGTGCTGTGAGCTTCAAGCATGCAGGATGCAGAGATGCCAGAGCCTGTGGACTTGAGGCATGCACTGAGGACGGGCAGAACGAACACCTAGCTGTTATTGGCATGGCTCCTCACTCCTCTAAATGGGCCGAGGCAGGAGTTTGTGTGTTTAATGGGCAGCACACAAGGTCAGGCTAGAGAGGAACAGGCCTCTTGAGGCCCATTTCTAGCTACAAACCCATGTGCTCCAGGATTCTCAGAGCCACACAAGTACAGCCCTCCACACCCTTTACCGGACACTTGTTTTGCTGAGAAATGCTCTACTCTGTCCCATCTCACCTGGACCTCGGCACTTCCAGTGGGCTGCTTCCAATCCTCAGGAAGTTATCAGAGTGGGTTGAGGAGGAGGAGCTGGAGGACTTGACTTCGACCAACCCTGAGGAAGGCAGTCTGTCTTCAGACTGCTGTGCCCTGCTCCAGAGCGCAGCTTGTGGTGATGATGCACAGCTCTTCCTCCTGTGGAATGGAGGACTGGGGTGAGAAAGCTGGCTTTCCCACATACTCCAACTAGGAAGCCTTTCCACAACAGGCTGGATTTTACCCCGGTAGCTACAAGCTCCTCTTTCCACTGAACCTGCCCTCCTCCCTCCCAAGGAACCATGAGTCATGGGTAACCGCTCAGTGATGGGGGTACACTGAGCTCAACCCATCTTAGCCCATTCTTTTATAGATCACCATCCACGTGACCTGGAAATCAGAAACAGGAGAATGCATCAGCCCACACATGCACAGCAATTGCTTTGTTTAGTCTAGCTGTAAGAAAGCCTCAAGCAAGGGGCCTCCCAGCAGGGAAAGACCATTTCAATCTGCTCTCAACTCTACAGAGCGTATCAGCCAAGGAGCTCAGCCCAGGTGGGCGTCCGTCCGTGCTGATGAGGGTGACAGGGGCACAATGCCAACGTTGTTTTCCCTTTTCATGATTCCCTTCAGGGACCACTGACCACTCTTCTGACCCTGTGCTCAGAGGTGACAGTCACTCCAGCCATAGGTGCATTTCAGTCCTCTCCCTGTCTGTGCTGACAACCCAGAACTGCACTGGCTTCTTTTCCAGCCAGCACATTCAGACTCGGGTGTAATTCACCATCCATTGCTGCATCAGGCCTTAGCTCACAGTACCATCCAGCTACGTGCCAAACAGGCACACATATTTGGACTAATGCACATCACTGCTGCTCCATGTTCCTTCTTGCATTTTTTTTTTTCTGGAAAAGTCCGAAGAATTTTTCCCCTTCCAAAACCACAGTGAATTGGACAGAGACCTCCCTATGTAGGCATGTAAGGAAAAGTCTAAAGCAAACAGACTGAAGGAGAAAAGATGCTGTTCTTCCTGGAATCTGGAAGGGCAACTCAGCTTTGACTGGGATCTCAAGCACTGTCAGCAAGTGCAGGTAAAGACAGGCTCATTGTACAGTGGGAAGCATGATATCCTCTCTTCACTTCTTGAAGAGTGTCCACTCTCAAACATCACACTACAGTCTTGCTCAAGCTTTATTCATCTCATGTTGTCATAGCTGCCAACATCTCCAAGCCCAGCCTGCAGACACGGGCTTGTACAGCTAAAAACCAAACGCCTTTCCCTGCAAGGGGACCTAGAGGCCACCTGTTTTCAGGACAACACAATGAAGCGCATCTCCTCCTCTGCTCCCTCACACCACGCACAGCCCAGCTCACCCAGCTTGTAGCAAGCCCTACCTGTTCTCCAGGCTACACAGCCACAACAGCCTGCAGCAAGACACCCAGGCCCAGTCCCCTCGCTACGCACTCATTGGCAAGACTCACAGCCTTCCCGTCCTCAAGCTCATGCCCACTGCATGGGCCCAAACCATCCCCATGGTAGCAGCAGCTAGCCCCAACACAGCCTGATATCTCCAGTGGGAATGAAAGCAAACCAGAGATCAGAAACACGTCACAAAATCAACTCCTGATACACACAAGTGCAGCAGACCTACTCCAGCATGCTCTGGCCACTTCACATCTTGTGAAAATCACTTGTAGGTTTTGTGCTGCAGGATCTAGTCTGTACGTTCTGAGCATTCAGAGCAATGTAAATGCTTCCAAGTTTACTACCCTGCAGCCAGGCAAGCGGAAAGTTGTTCTCTACTTGCTGCAGTCACTTTGCTGTGGATAGGTAAGCTCTGCGTGGTAAAGAGGACTCTGCACTGCTCACTTGGCAAATGCAATTTGGGACTCCCCATCCCCATTTTGTGGTTCCGTAGGAAGATCCTCTCTTCCCCTCTTCAGCATTTTATAAATTGAATCACAATGTGTTTTAGAAAGGTGGCTGCCACTAGCATGGCTGCAGGCTCAGTCCCAGAGGACTTCCAACTGCCTCCAGCACAACCCAGATTTAATTTAAAATAATTGCAATATAAAATAGCATCTTCACATGTGCTGAGGGAGAGGAGAGAAAAATTAAACTGAGAGGAGCAACCCTACAGCAAGGTTCTGAAATCCCCAAACAGCACCAGAAACCCCATGAGCAAGCGCAACGCCTGTCCCAGAGCAGCAGAGTCGCCAGACACCTTCCCCGGTCCCCACTCCCAGACAGCCGCCTGCATCCCCAGGTGAGTCCTGTGTGCCCTCTATCAACAGGGAGCACTGAGGACTTCGTATTCTCCCCCCAAAGCAGCAACCTGCTTCCAGCTCACAAGCCTCGTGCTGTTAGAAGGGCTAAAGTTTAGTGGGGATTCTTGGTCACCCAGCCCACCTACCACTAACTGCAGACGCTCCCCTGTATAATCTCTTCCATAAACTGATGAAGCTCCATTTTAGGGCGGCTAAACTTTGTCTTCGCTTTTCCCTGGGGAGGCTGCTGCCAAATGTTATTTTTCTGGTAGTTTGGAAGCATCTTTTAATAGTAATGAAATCCTTTCCGGATGAAGTTTAACAGTGAAACTGTTGAAAACGAAACAAAGCTGCTTCTGCTTTACTCTCATCAGGGGACGAACTTCAGGAGCATCCCCGCAGAAGCCTGACAGCATTTAACATGGGGTGGTCTCCAATTTTTTGGTGCAGAAGTTCCGCAGCACAAGTTGCAGCAAAGCCTCTGACAGCCAAATTCCTCCCTCCACTGTAAAGAACCCACGCCACAGAGAGCAGACCTGGAGGGCAAAGGACTGCAGAAATATATTTTCTACTGTGCTCAGAGCCTGCCCCTTTTGTTCTGCAGCCCACTGAGTGGTTATCTCCTCACCACGCTGCTTGAGCCTGTGCTCCTGCTGGCATCAGCTCCACTGCTTCATAGGTGAAGCTCCCAGCTGCTCCAGGGGAACTTTCCATCCCTAGGGAGAAGTCGCTGCTCAGACTTGTGGTGCTGCCTCGGTCTCTCTGCTCTAGAGAAAAGAAAACAGAGCTACCTGAAGACCCGCTTTGGTCTCGCTCACTTTCTCTCCCTGTAAGCAACGCACTTCCCGTTTGCCCTGGGGCTGTGCTCCTGCGAGGCCCCAAGGGAAGTATACCCACGTGTAGTCACCCTGATGCTGGGAACCCAAGCCCCCAACTGATCAACCATTACCAGCACCCTCTGCAGCAGCACTCACTGAGCATGCAGATCTCTTCCAGCGTGAAGCCTGGTGGCAAACTCTTCCTTCTGGGGAAGGAAAGACAAAGTTACCTCAGCCATGCTTCATGGCTGCGGGGAGGCTGGCCACAGCCAGATCTCTGTAGCACACTGCGGAGCAGAGCAGTGGGGAGTTAGCTGTGCAGGCGCAGAGGGGAGGGGATGAGGCCAGTGTGCAGCATCCGACCCTCCTAATAGTCCCACCCCACACACCCTGTGCTTTGAGAGGGTGGCAACAGGCGGCAGACAGACACGTGATTATTTCAGAGTCTACAGGGTGGGCTTTGTTTCTTTCTGCCCCCTCTGAAATAGGAAGGGGTTAATGTTTAGCGGTGTGTTAAACACCAGCCACCCCGCTCCCCCCAGCAGTGCCTGAAGGAGCTTGCTGTGCAGCCTGCTTGAGCCAGAGCACACATCTCCGGGTCCATCCGTGCTCAGGCAGCCACGGACAGTCGTTAAGCAGAGAGCACATTTCAGCATGGACAGTTTTTGAGAGCACAACGTGGCACCTCACAAGCCTCGGCCCCATTTTGCAGCCTTCAGAGTGCAGAATAAATTAATGAAAACTGGGCCAGGACACCAGGGCTTCCGTCTCCCCAAAGGAACAGCACTAACAAGCTCCCTGGCTCTGCAGCCCATGCAGCAGCAGGCACAGGCTCCTTACCTGTGTGACTTCACAGCAGAGAACTCCTCAGAGGTGATGTGCTTCAGAAAATTGAAGCAGAAAAAGAAAATCTGAGCAAAGGGAGAGAAAAGAGCGG